TCGGGTTCTCCCAAGACATTTCCCAGCTTAACATGAAGAACACGGTGGTACTTTTACCTCCTCTGTTCATGCACAGAAACTGGTTAGACTCGCAGCCCAGCCTTCTTTCTGCACTGATGGTGGACGAGGGTGCATCTATACCGCAGAATGAATGCAGTTTGACTCCACTTGTCAGTGCTATGGAAGAATGGGCTCAGTGCTATAGAATCATGGGATTTGTAGTTTGGTGAGACACCAGCACTCTTTGGAAGGGAAGACTAAAGACCTACTAAAACTGCAGCATACAAGATTGGATAGCACTTCGCAATGGCAGCTAAAGTGCCACAAGCATATGGACAATTTCAACAGAAAGGAGGAAACCAAGAAAAGCAACAAAATCTGGCGGCCAGTATTTAAAAAAAACCCTCTAAAATCAAATCAGTAAATAAAGAGCAACACTCTGAAAACAGGGGAATTCCAGACTAATCACCTCCCAACAAAGGATTCCCCCAGTAAGCAAGCAGACCTTGAAGCTGCAAGGCCATTAAATGCTAATCAAGGTGGCCACTTGTAACATTCACACCTGCCTCAAGCAGACAAGAGTTCTTTCTCTCACCCTGGACATTCAACAGATATATAAACCTCACTTGCCTAGTTTCCAACAGACCTCACAACCTCTGAAGATGCCTTCCATAGATACAGGTGAAACATCAGGAGAGAATGCTTCTGGAAAATGACAATACAGCCTGGAAAATTCACATCAATGCAGCTAAAGTGGTGTCAAACTGCATTAACTCTACAGTGAAGATGCACCCCTACTCTCCTCTCAGCACTAGTTTTTAGAGTTTGGAGGTGCATTCTGTGGCAAAACCAGATTAGAAACCGCCAGTGAATCCAAGAGGAACAGCCATGGGTCTGTTCCTACCACCTCAGCACATCCATTGCCCAAAGCAATATTATTGTTTCAGTCTCCTAAGGTGTGGGCTACAATTCCCATCATTGTTGTTTGCCATGTTGTCTGGGGCTGATGGGAATTGTAGTCCAACCACATTCACACATTCATAGAATCATAGAATCATAGAGTTGGAAGAGACCTCATGGACCATCCAGTCCAACCCCCTGCCAAGAAGCAGGAATATTGCATTCAAATCACCCCTGACAGATGGCCATCCAGCCTCTGTTTAAAAGCTTCCAAAGAAGGAGCCTCCACCACACTCTGGGGTAGAGAGTTCCACTGCTGAACGGCTCTCACAGTCAGGAAGTTCTTCCTCATGTTCAGATGGAATCTCCTTTCTTGTAGTTTGAAGCCATTGTTCCGTATCCTAGTCTCCAGGGAAGCAGAAAACAAGCTTGCTCCCTCCTCCCTGTGGCTTCCTCTCACGTATTTATACATGGCTATCATATCTCCTCTCAGCCTTCTCTTCTGAAGGCTAAACATGCCCAGCTCCTTCAGCCACTCCTCATAGGGCTTGTTCTCCAGACCCTTGATCATTTTAGTCACCCTCCTCTGGACACATTCCAGCTTGTCAACTCTGTCTTATAAAGTTATAGTGCCATCTTGTGTGTGTCCAATCAAGCCTCAGATTGCAGCTTTAGTTGCCTCCTTTCGTAGTGGTCAAGTGGTTATTTTTCACCATTCCTGAACTACCGAAATGTTCCCCTTCACTAAACACGATACCGTGCAAAGCTCTAGGTCATTGCAATGAACCCCAAGCAAGAGATCTTCTGATAAATTCTTCCTTATGGACTAAAAATATGGCAGTTCGATAAGTTTGGAAATCCTTTGTCTTGCTTTGCTTCAGGGAACAGGCAAGGAAGAGCTTGTAACCTGCACATATACACACACAAGTCATTTCAGACCTATTGTGACCCTGCCACAGGTTTTTCTTGGCAAGATTTGCTCAGAAGATGCTTGCCACTGCCTTCCTCTCAGGCTGAGAGAGTGCAACATGCCTAAGGTCACTCAGTGTGCTTCTGTAGCCAAGAGGTGATTCAAATCTGATCTCCGGAGTCCTATCCAATGCTCAAGCCACTATACCCCATTGGCTTATTTGCTCATACCTATGACAGGTAACACTTCAGCCTGCTAAAGAGGAAACTCATGCTTTAGCCTCTGACTATGGGAAATGTAGATCCTACACAATCCTATACTGCCATATATTAGGGTGATGGGGAGTCCGGCCTTCTTGAGTCCTGTTATTACAAGTTTGGTGTCTGGCGTTCAGAGATTATTCTTTGCTCAAGGCTCAATTTTGGTCTTCTTCGTGGTAGTGATGATAGTGGAGGGATATGATTTCATATCCCTCCAAGTCCTGCCTCTCATGATCCTTATCAATTTCTACATTTGGAAATTTTCACATTTAGAATTTTCATTGCTATTTGTTTATGTAGAGGTTTTTTTCTCAATTTGTTTTCTCCTGACGCAAGTGATAATCTCCTTTCACTTTTAAAAATGAGGTAACGGTGCAAACATATTGCAGAAAGAAAAATGGGAACAGAAGCACAAGACAGACGAAAGGAGGCAGCGGGGGAGCTGCCCTCCTTTTCCCCTTGATATTGGTTGTGTTGTACATGGCTGCGTTCAGCTGGTGACCAGCCTACAGGGCAGAAGTCCCACTGGTGTGTGACTCTGTTTTTCTTGTCTCTGTGGACACAGCTGCCTCGACTGAATTAATTTGGAAAGGGACTGATTATACAGGTCACAGATACAAATATTGCTTCCCCCTCCCTGGCACAACTTATTGAGCCTCCAGTGTGTTGGACTCAATGCATATTAGAAAGTGACCACTTCTTTCTGTACCTCCCTCTACCCATAATCCATGGGGAGCTCTGTAAGGAGTTAGTCCAAAATAAGGGGGGGACATTCTGAATTTTGCAAAAGATTATTTGAATAGACCTAAAACCAGGGTCAGACATTATTATTATTATTATTATTATTATTATTATTAATATTATTATTATTATTATTATTATTATTATTATTATTATTAACTTTATTTGTACCCCGCTAGCATCTCCCGAAGGACTCGATGCGGCTCACACAGGCCGAAGCCTCAAAAACACAATACAACAAAACATAGCACAACAGCAAAACAAGCAAATCAAAACAGTTCAGCAAGTAACAACAAGAGTAAAAATACATCAGGACATTTTAAAAACTGGGCCGGCCAGAGCAGAGGGTACAGGATTAAAAGTGCTGAAGTGGCAGGAGGGACGTAGGATTAAAAATAAGTGCGGTGTGCAGCGATCTTAATTCTACTAAAGTGCTTCTAGGACTTGGTGATGGGGATTCCTAATCTGAGAAGGCACATCGGAACAGCCAAGTTTTTAAATTCTTTCTGAAAACTGCCAGAGTAGGGGCCTGTCGAAGCTCTTTTGGGAGGGCGTTCCAAAGTCGGGGGGCCGCCACAGAAAAGGCCCTGTCTCGTGTCCCCACCAGCCGCGCTTGCGACGCGGGTGGGATCACGAGCAGGGCCTCTCCAGATGACCGAAGAGAGCGTGTGGGTTCATAGATGGAGATGCGGTCACGCAGGTAGGGTGGTCCCAAACCGTTCAGGGCTTTGTAGGTGAGCACCTGCACCTTGAATTGGGCTCGGAAAATAAATGGCAGCCAAGGATGTCCTTAAGCCAAGGATGGGCAATAGTTGCAGAGCTGAAGGGCTGAGTCAGCATGGTGTAGTAGTTTGAATGTTCATTTTTAATTCAAATCGGGGTTGGGAATCTGTAAAGAGTTGGCGGGTGGGGAGGAATACTACTGCTGTACTACTACTACTACTACTACTACTAATAATAATAATAATAATAATAATAATAATAATGGAACTGCACCAGCCAGTAAAGGTGATCCCAATGCACACTGGGTGCAGTGCCTAAAGACCTTGGCCTGCACTTAAACACAATCGGCACTGACAAAATTACCACCTGTCAGCTGCAAAAAGCCACCCTACTCAGATCTGCATGCATTATTCATCGATACAGCACACCGTCCTAGACACTTGGGAAGTGTCCGACATGTGATCGAATACATAGTGATCTTGTTTGCTCTGTGCTAATCTTGTTGTGTATCAAATAATAATAATGCATATATTATCTGCCTCTCCCTGTGGCTCGAGACGGGATACAACATAATTAAACCAAGAGATATAACACTATTAAAAGACATAAGATCACTTTCTCCCATATAAATACTGCATACATTAAGGTCCTCTAGAAGACATCTGTTTCACTCAGCCATAAGTACTGTTAACCAGAGGACATTTTCTTTGGCTGCCCAAGACTGAGGAATTGCCTGCGAGAAAAGATAGTATCTGAGTTTAAATCAACAGTTAAGTCACTTCTGGCAATTTATTTTTAAATTATGTTTAAAATACTTAAAGTATTACTTGAGGGATCTTAATATATATTTATATGTTCTTTTAGCTGATGTAATGTATGTGTATAATAATAATAATAATAATAATTATTATTATTATTATTATTATTATTATTATTCCTTCATATTCACTGTATTAGGAGTCCAGGATCTCTGTAAAAGTGGGGAAAACACTTTTTTAACCTGAGGCAACCCCTTTCAAGGAATCTCTAGGCTGGGTTGCTCTGAGTTTTCCGGGCTGTATGGCCATGTTCCAGAAGCATTCTCTCCTGACGTTTCACCTGCATCTATAGCAGGCATCCTCAGAGGTTATGAGGTCTCTAGGTTCTCTAGGTTTTCCAGCACAACTATTAGAATTGTACTGGAAGACCTATACATGCCTGAAGAAGTGTTATCTCTGGTAATCCCTGTGTCCTCAAGCATAACCATAGTTAGCTTCAATTGGATTTTGACCATAGATTTGTGTTGGAAGACTCTGAGTTTCGTAGAAAAAAACATATTAATCAAATCCATGAATACACAAAAGCAAAATCCGCAAGTGTGGAGGATTGACTATAGTGCTATTTCATCTGAACCCAGTCCTGGAGGATGCTGCAGAGTTGGGATCCTTCTCCTCCCCTTTTCTTACCTTGTCCTCTTCTGATTCCAGGTCATAAGGATCCTGGAGTAGCCAACAAGACGACACGCCATGGACCCTGCTGCCTTCCCGCGACTCTGGCTGTGGGCACTGTGGGTTTGGGGATCCAGCCCCAGTTGGGTGTTCGGCCAAGCACCCACCCAGCCTCACTCGATCAAGATAGAAGGGGAAATAACACTAGGAGGGCTCTTCCCCGTTCACTCTCGAGGCCCAGCCGGCGTGCCCTGTGGAGCCGTGAAGAAGGAGAAGGGGATTCACCGGATGGAGGCCATGCTTTATGCTCTGGATCAGATTAACAGTGACCCCAACGTGCTCCCCAACATCACCCTGGGGGCCCGGATCCTGGACACTTGCTCTCGCGACACATACGCCCTGGAGCAGTCATTGACTTTTGTCCAAGCCCTGATCCAGAAAGACACTTCCGACGTGCGCTGCTCCAATGGCGAGCCCCCCATCATCACCAAGCCAGAAAGAGTGGTAGCTGTCATTGGGGCCTCTGCCAGCTCTGTCTCCATCATGGTGGCCAATGTGCTTCGCCTCTTTGCCGTAAGTAGAGAGATAGTCCTTTCAAAGAAAGCTGCCATCTCAGGAAGGGAGTTCAAACACCCCCCAAAAATGGCTGGGGGTGGTGATGGTGTTGAAACTTGGTCTGTTCTCAAGAGAAAATCATATAACCACTGCCTCAAAGGGGAGGGAAATACATGCAATCTTGCCTATATTTATACTGTGCCCTTGGTATCCACTGGAATTTGGTCCCCCCAATCCCCCATTGATACTATTACGTGGTATCCCTTATATTAAATGACAATATAATTATTTGCTTTTTAAAATTTTATATTTTCAACCCATGAATGGCTGGATCAACCTGTATTTTCTCAAAATAGCCTATATCCTGACTGGGAGTCACACACACCCCTGCAAAGGGAATACACTCTGTTTGGAAACAATGAGAATAAACCACCCAGGAATGTGTTTACAAACGAATGAGCTTTAAAATAATCATATATGTGACAACATACAATAACTTGTTATTGTCATTTGCCTTCAAGTCAGCTTCAAATTGCAACTGTGCTCGATTGTGAGACATCACCGCTCATTGAAATAGATGATAAGACTTGGTAAAATGGAAAGCAGAAGGAAAAAGAAGGGGAAGGCACAAGTTGATTGATTCATCCCAAGAAGTCAGGGTCCTATGCACTTACCTGGAAGTATCTTGTCAGTTGAGCATATATTTGAATAACATATTAAGGACTATACTGTAGCAGAGAAAGCGAAAATATGGGATAGCAGATTTATTTAGCATGGTGGGGTTTAACTTTCCCTACCACACTGCTTCTTAAACTGTGGGTCCTGGCCCCAAGTGGGTCCCTTTTGCTTGATGTTGGAGTCTTGAAAAATTTCGCAACAGTAAAAGGTTTCTGAATGTCCCTTAATCTGTTGTGCAGTGTTTACAGTGGATGCCGCAGATGCTTCAGCTGTACTTCATAAAAAGCCTGTTTTAAAAGCCTTGCAAATACTTATGTATTATCAGTAAATGTTTGATTTTGAATTGGCTTCTCAGTCCTAACTTCTCAGAAAGTCTTAGGAGATGATAAGATATAAGCAAAGCAGGTCTCTTTCAGACCGGATAAGATTACTTTCCAATCTTGGAGGAAGCTACTTGAGACATTTACACAAATCTGTTGTGCAATGTTTACAGGGGACTCAGCAGATGCTTCAGCTGTACTTCATAAAAAGGAAATGCAGCCTGTTTAAAAAGCCTTGCAAATGCTGATGTATTATCTGAACATGTTTGGTTTTGTACGTATTTCATATACTGTACCTATATACCTAGGGTCACGTAAAGATTTCTTGGGCCAAAAAGTGTCTGAAGTAGAAATGTTTAAGAAACCCTGCTCTACCATACTAGGGAGCCAGGGTGGTGTCATTGTTCGATTGTTAAACTACAACTCTGGAGATCAGGATTCAAATTCCTGTTCAGCCATGAAATCCACTGGGTGGCCTTGGGAAAATCACACTCTCTCAGCTTTAGAGGAAGGCAATGACAAACATCTTGCCATGAAAACACTATGATAGGTTTGCCTTAGGATTGGAAATGATCTGAAGGCACATAGCAGCAGTAACAATAACATCAACTATATTAAAGAAATTTAGGCACATAAATAAATAAGTAAATAAGTAAATAAGTAAAGTGCTACTACAGACCCCCCTCCTTTTTTCTCCTTTTTTCCTCCCCTTCCCTTACACTTTTCATGCAGTTTCTCAAGTCACTCCTGACACACACACACAAATTCTACAAAAGACTAACACAACTACTTCTTTGGAAAATAATCATCCACTGCCCCATTGAATTGGGTTCTCAGTCTTAACTTCTCAGAAATTCTTAGGAGATTATAAGATATGACCAAAGCAGGTCTCTTTCAGACCGGATAAGATTACTTTCAAATCTTGGAGGAAGCAACTCAGAATGCATTTAAACCTAAGCCTATAAAATTTTCTTGACCTCAACCGCCGGAATTCTGCTGGCACACATATGGTGGCAGCTGTACAGTTTAAGGACTCGTGTAGCTGTAATAAGAAAGGCAGTCAAAATTTGCCAGCTACAAATGGCCTGTTTCTCCATGTATTGTTGAAGGCTTTCATGGCCAGAATCACTGGGCTGTTATGTGGTTTCCAGCTGTATGGCTGTGTTCTAGCAGCCTTTCTTACTTTACCAAATTGGTAAAAACACACCAAATTGGGAGGGATAGTGAATACACCAGAAGACAGGAGCAGAATTCAAAATGATCTTAGCATAGTAGAGATGGGCCAAAACTAACAAAATGAAGTTTAACAGGGACAAATGCAAGATACTTTACTTATTAGTTAAGGAAAAAAATGAAATGCAAATATACAGAATGGGGGATGCCTGGCTCGAGAGCATTACATGTGAAAAAGATCTTGGAGTCCTCGCAGACAACAAGTTAAACATGAGCCAACAATGTGATGTGGCAGCAGAAAATGGCAATGGGATTTTGGCCTGCATAAATAGAAGTCTAGTGTCTAGATCCAGGAACGTCATGCTACCCCTCCTTTCTGCCTTGGCCAGATCACACCTGTAATCGCACTGTGTCCAATTTTGGGCACCACAATTGAAGGGAGATGTTGACAAGCTGGAATGTGTTGAGAGGAGGGCAACTAAAATGATCAACGGTCTGGAGAACAAGCCCACGAGGAGCGGTTTAAAGAGCTGGGCATGTTTAGCTTTCAGAAGAGAAGGCTGATAGGAGACATGATAGCAATGTATAAATATGTGAGAAGAAGTCACAGAGATGAGGGAGCAAGCTTGTTTTCTGCTGCCCTGGAGACTAGGATTCAAAACACTGGCTTCAAACTACAGGAAAGGAGATTCCACCTGAACATGAGGAAGAACTTCCTAACTGTGAGAGCTGTTCAGCAGTCGAACTCTCTGCTCTGGAGTGTGGTGGAGGCCCCTTCTTTGTAGGCTTTAAAACCAGCTGGATGACCATCTGCCAGGGGTGCTTTGAATGCAATTTTCCTGCTTCTTGGCAGGGTGTTGGACTGGATAGCCCACGAGATCTCTTCCAACTATGATTTTATGATTTATGTCAGTTGGCTGTTTTCTTCTGCCGTCAGTGCCTATACACTACAAACTTCTTAGATGAGACCCAGTGAATTAGTGGGATGCCTATAAAATTAGTGGACTTGATTCAGTTTGGCACCACTCAATCTGGAGCTGTTGTCCATATGGACCTTTCCGTGTTGGCCCTCCTGGGCTGTCACCTCAATCATACGGCCACTACTGCTCCTAGCCATCCACATCTTTGGTGTCAGAATGGAGTGCCTCCACAAGCAGCAAGAAGAAGGGGCACCTTGACATGACAATGTGATCAGGCATCTACACAGAGCCCCATGGCCGGGTAGGACCACATATGAGTCATCCCCCTTTCCCTGCACTCATAGAATCATAGAATCAAAGAGCCGGAAGAGACCTCATGGGCCATCCAGTCCAGCCCCCTGCCAAGAAGCAGGAATATTCCATTCAAATCACCCCTGACAGATGGGCATCCAGCCTCTGTTTAAAAGCTTCCAAAGAAGGAGCCTCCACCACACTCCGGGGCAGAGAGTTCCACTGCTGAATGGCTCTCACAGTCAGGAAGTTCTTCCTCATGTTCAGATGGAATCTCCTTTCTTGTAGTTTGAAGCCATTGTTCCGCATCCTAGTCTCCATGGAAGCAGAAAACAAGCTTGCTCCTTCCTCCCTGTGTCTTCCTCTCACATATTTATACATGGCTATCATATCTCCTCTCAGTACAGGGAAATGGCGGTGACAGTGGTGTCTATCTGAACACTAAACTGGCTCAAATCAGACCTGATGCAACTGTACAGATTGCTCATGGATACTCAGGGGTTTCAGGCAAACTCAAGAGTATCCCGACTTTGCCTAAAACAGGGAAAAGTCAGGGTACATGGAGAAAAACCCTCTTCATATTCACCAGGAGCTGTTGTGCATCATGAAGACTGAGAGTAGTCCATTCACAGTGAGTATAAAATAAGGTTTATCTCATTTAGACAAGCCTTACACCTATAAAAGCTTATGCAGTTTGACACCACTTTAACTGCCATGAATCAGTGCTACGGAGTCATGGGAGATGTACAGTGAAGAGGCATCATCACTCTTTAGTGGAAAAAGCTAAATACTTTATGAAACTACAGTTCCTTTGATTCTGTAGCATTGGGTCATGGCAGTTAAAGCGATGTCAAACTACAATAATTCTGCAGTATAGATGTGGCCATGGTCTCAAAGATTCCTTTGCACTTTTATGTAGGTGTAGCATTTACTTGTACCATAGCTATCTGTACTAATACTACTTTACTTTGTACATACCACTAGAAGATGGAGCCCCCGGAGGCACAATGGGTTAAACCCTTGTGCCGGCAGGACTGCTGACTGACAGGCCAGCAATTTGAATCCAGGGAGAGCAGGTTAAGCTCCCCTCTGTCAGCTCCAACTCCCCATGCGGGGACATGAGAGAAGCCTCCTACAAGGATGGTAAAACATCCGAACGTCCCCTGGGCAACGACCTTGCAGACAGCTAATTCTCTCACACCAGAAGTGACTTGCAGTTTCTCAAGTCACTCCTGACACACACACAAACTAGAAGACAGGACTCATTAGAAAAGACATTGACATTTCATATGGTAGAAGGCTGAAGGAAAAGAGGAATAGTGGTGGATGGATTCAATCAAGGAAGCCATGGTTTGCAAGATCTGAGCAGGGCTGTTAATAACAGGGTGACTTGAAAGTCTCTCATTCATAGTGTCATCATACATCAAAGTCGACTTGATAGCAATTAACATCAACAATCTGGTGCAATATATTTCTTAATTAATAATCAAAAGCTTAAAATAGATTTTTGACCTTGAACAGTGGCATGATAAAGATTTTTTGATAAACATTCCATGCAACCATTAGATTCTACCTTTCTTCACCTCGACAACACAATCCATTGGGTTATCTGTGTCCACACTGCCATATATTCCAG